CAAACCGTTATATGGACGAGAAAAGCTTCCACCCGAATCCAAGTGAAGAGCGAGATGATCTCCAACTTTGTGTCGTGTCGGCCTGCATTGTGAAGAGATAGCATCCATTAGGTGCTCAAAGACTAGCAAGAATCCCGCAATAACATGCTGCGATGCTGTACATTTCTGATCTTGACCACTTCCCCATGGAGAGAAAGCCCAATTTTGAAATATATGGCAAAATTTTCACGTCAACTTAATATTTGGGTAGGTATTCGAGTAGAAAACCCATTTTGAAACGGCGGCCTCTCAAATTGGTGAGCTGCTACGATAATTGTGCGGTCAGTTACCACCCAACTTGTGATTTATGTTGAATTGTGAAGGCTGTTCTTTGCTTTTTGCTCTTGAACCAATTCCAACGGCTGTGGAAAAAAGCGTTCGAAGGATATTGGAATTTGTTTGCCGACGTATAGAATTAACCACGTTTCCATGCAAGTGCTTGCAAATTACTAGGAAGAAAGGCCTCCGTTCCCGGGGAAGTTTTGGGGAAGCGGAGCGCTTATGATTTTCATTCACAATCGCTGTGAAACTTTATGTAACAGTTGAGCATACAATCACTTGCAGGAGCTAGTTGAGGCGCAAGTTTTTAGGTCCGCAATGCTTGTTCCCTGCCCACTTCTCGAAATTCCTGGTTAGATTTTGATCGGAATTCATTTCTGGGAACAGATTTGACTGGAACTTTTGCACATTGGGCATAATTATCATAATTGTCGTCGCTTAATGACGCCTGCGCCTTAGGAGTAAGCACCAGAACATCTCAGATTCCTGAAACAGCTGCAAGCTTGTCTCCGGACATGATGACAAGACTTTCAAACAGAGGTTATTTCCGTATTTGAGGGAGACAAACTACCCCGCGGGCAACCTAGTCAATTCTACTACCAGGGATACTCTTCAAGACTGTTCTAGCCCAAAATGTAGTGCGGAAGGGAGGAATAGTGCCCTTCAGCTTTCTCATCTGGTTCGATAGACCAACACTGGAAGTACAGCCTGTATCTGAGCGGAGCCAGAGGCGTGGCTGAGAGTCCATATGAAACAAATGCAGGCAAGGAAATATGCATAACAGAAGGGAGTCGGCACCGAATACGCAGTCACGCGTCCTGCTCCGCACCGAATACGCAGCCACGCCTCCTGCCTCACCCTGATCTACGGTTGCAGAACCCCTAGACTATACTTCTGATTGCTATTTTCTTTTGAATTTGGAAAAAATTTCAATCACTATTTCAAGGCACAAACGGCAACTGACTCTGTCTCTCAATGACGCGACTCCCATCACCACGATGGCACCCGGCGACTCCGAAGAACTCAACGTCTACAAAGGACTCTTTATAGGTAACTTTCCGTCGTCATTCAATCTTCACTAGGGAAGCATTCATTGTTCGCGGCAGTGGCGATTCAATCGACGAGCGAACGCCGACGATGAGACACGAATTGATTTTGCAGTTTGTCGCGAACTGTGAACGCAGCTCATTGTCAGCGTTCCCCATTCAAAGAAACTAAGATGTCCCTTGAAGTATTGAAATTTTAGGTGGAATGCCGCCCGATTCTCAACACCTGGACGGATTCCGCGGTTGTATCGAGTTTGTTGAAGTTGGATCGATTGTGATCGATCACCCGGAAGAAGCCAGTACTGCAGTCAATATTGAAAATTGTGATTTGTAGAGTTTTCCGTGGGTGTGTAGGGGGATCGAGTCGAATCGGTCAAGCAGAGTATGCATGGGTTTTCGATTTCTGATCAGAGTATTTTGGATGTGATGTTAAAACACAGATTTGTATATATTCCAAACCAAATGTCACTGGTTGTTACGTCAAATTGGTTACCATAGTAATAAAAACATTTGTAACGTTTCCACGATTGCCAGCCCTTATTTTCAACGGAACTTATTTGCAAGGGGTTTGCTCGGTAGTTCTGCTCATTGGCATAAATATCGCACGCTTAGCGTATTAACGAAGAACGCTCGGGTATTTTCGGTTTGGAGGGGGGGGGGGAGGAGGTTTCACTTTAGCTATTTCATTTTACTGGAAAAGTGACCGTGTTTAACTTTGCTTCAGCCTGAAGCTTTCATGCTCTGTGGACGAGTCAGGCCTGCCATTCTGTCTCCTTTAACGTTGCGTCCTTTCAACAGCCTTATTCGCTGAGGCGTGGGTAGGGGAGGGGCTGGGTCGAGCGCGGCGCGAGCCCGCTCTCAAACGATGGTTGAAGCAGGCAAGCGACAACGATTGGTGGAAAACGGACTGACGCTGTGCCAAATTAGCCCCTGACACGCCGTGCTACCTGCGACAAACAAGGTGCCCAACGCACCAGAAAAGATGGAACTCCAATGAGAAAGGCATGATGTTTTCATAGAAAGGGAAGTCCGCCACTGTCCAAAGAACCCGCAACGTGACTGTACTTTCTTGTTGTGCTGTTCCCATTCCTTAGTCTCTGAGTTCTCACCACTGACACTACGTACTACGTGCTCTGCGGAAGTTGATTTACTGTATCTAGCATGGCTGGAACAGGAAGGGACAGCAATCTGAATAACAAAAAAATCCCTCCCACGCTTGACACAGCCCCCTCCCCCTCTAGCTGGCAAATGCAACTACCTCATGGAATTTTCACAAGGATTACATACGCGGTTTTCTATGAAACCATCGCCCCACTCCCTCAGGAGTTGAGGCACAACCATGGAACCAAAGCGAACAAGTCAAAAGGTCCTCGTATAAAGGGTGACAGTTTCTGATGCCACGGACCCTTTTTATAATGGCCAAATGGAATCAGTGAAAGTGCATTGTAAATTGAAGTTGGAAGTGTGTTTCCAAGTCTAGGCAGTTTTTGTACAAATAGGATTTTCTGCTGAAGTTTGTTCACTGGTCGCCGTAAAGCAGTGCTCCTAATGGGAACACATCAGGCAACTGAAGAGCTTTCGAAGAAGTCGTATCATGAGGGTTTTCATACTGTGGGTTCCCCAAGAGAGCTCTGGGCAATTTAATCAGTGGAAAAAGACCTTAAAGATTTGCATATATGGAGAAATTTCGCCCAATATTCGTACCATTCAGAATGAAATTTAAGTGCAAGGTTAAAGGAAATCATTAGGGTTATCGAGTACTCCGGTTGCGGAGATTCCCTAATGACCCAAGGGAACTGGCTGCAAAAGTGTAACGAAACTCGTTCCGAGCTACCGGAAACATTTAGAAGCATTTTCTGCCAAACATTCCAGGGACAGTCAGGTTTCTAGTCACTCGAAAACTGTCACATCGCGCTTTTTGCCCTCAGGAAATCCCTCTCCCCCTCACCTACGCCACACTCTTGTCTTCGACGATGCTAGAACTGCTTTCCACCTTTTTTGATCTAACGCTCATTTTACCGCATTAAGGGGATAAGGTAGAATAACTTCGTAAAATGTTTAAAGGCACAGTTCGCGACCACAAACTGCGGGAAACGGAACTCAAATAGGCACAAAAAAGTGCTAAGTATCTGATTAGCGGAGAAAAGCAGCAGTAAAAGCAGTCCGAAATATTATAGATAAAGATAACATAGTGGCTACTAGCTAGTAGCTAGCAGCCGGTGAGGGTCGGCATGGGCCTAAGGGGTGTCCATGGGCCTAATTAGCCAGCTTCTCTGCGGGCGGGGGATCGAGTTCTTGCCGTTTTTCACATTTTGAAAGTAGCGCAGCCTCAAAAATCGCCTTCCGGATCGTCCGACACATTTGAGAGGTCATAGCCTTATTTTATCGCGGAATGTGCCTTTAAGTAGCAGAGGGCTATATAAGCTGCTGAAAAATGGTGCAAAAGCGAAGTGAATACTGTCGAACATTCAAAAAAAACCTTTGTTCTACGGGGGAATGTGGACGAGTTTCCCGTGGCATCGTGCCAATGGCCCCTACGGTAGATAGGTTTCATATGTGAAATGATATATCCGTGCAGCACCGCAGCAGCTTCATATCAATCCCTTCGCTTCATATTGTACTTCGCAAATGAAGCGATACGAGCATCAGCATCGGTCGAACATTTGTGGGCGAGCGGGTAGGCATGTGCAGCTTCATAGGACGCTATAAGGGTACCTTCCTTGGAAAAGGCGCCACGCAGCGCCTGCTCAGGAGCGCCGAGTTCTGTCCTGCTAGGCCTATTAATCCTACACGTCTTGGGGGTTTATCGTGCCACTTGCTTTTAACAACCCAAGGTCATCCTTGTTGCACTGTCAAACAGATTTTGCATTTTGGAGGCTCAGATCAACGTTTGAGCCCGACTGAGGTCCCACTGAAAGCACTAACTGTTTGTCCAAGCGCAATGATGACTCTTTCAGGGAAACGTGGTTGAAAAGCTTCCTGTGCCAGTGGCACACGAGTTAACTCAAAGCCTAATATTCCAACTATTAGAGGCCTAAGCGTTCAAGACCGGAGAGGTGTCGGATCTACCTCTTTTCCTGTTGCATTTCCAACGAAACCGAGAGAGACAAGCCTACGCAGCCCACTACCGCCCGCATTAGCGGAAGCAGACCCCTTTTCCAGAGCCATTAGACGTGCCCGAGTATAGCTGATAAGGTCGCTTTCATTCCGACCGGTGACTGGAGGGGCGTAATAAGCCCGCCCCCGGCTGCTCTACCAATGGCGATGATCGATTCGGGAGGAGGACAACCAGTAGTGAAACAGCAACGAGGGGGCTCGTTTCATTCCTGTCGAAACCGCCCAAACTGATTGCTACCTTTTCAACTGTACGATAGCAAAGCTAGTTGACGCTGTGTGATGGGTGGTTAAAATTGCGTTATTTCCAAAAGTCACAGCGTTAGTCACCGAGCACTCTGAATCCCGCCCTGCCCTAATAACATACATTCCAAATCCCAAAAATGGAGAGGGTGTGACTGCGCACTTTATTTTATCGTAGGGCAGAACGCATTTTTTTTCTGGGATCTCTCCATGTGAAACAAGTTTCACCGTGTCTTGTGCCTGAAAAGGGCATGAGTACATTTTGACCTAAAACGGCAACATTCCTCAGAAGCGCAGCAGCCACCGCATCCTCACGATGCACGCAGCCACGCCCACTCCAACTCCGAGATGTGTGGGATAAGAATGTGGCGCGGCGCTGAGCTTCTTTTCGCCTGCTGGAGTACTTGCGAGCAGGGACTTCGCCTGTCGGAAGCATATCCTTATATTTCCGAGGGGAACAAGGGTCTACAGGTCTCACAAGGGTAGACTGGTCATTTAATAGGTTAGCAAAACAATCAAAAAAAGTGCAAAATTCCTCCCCTACCGGGAAGGGCCGAGAAAAATTCACCTTTCCCTTTCTAGGTTTATGTTCTACTCATTGAAAAACGTAGGCATTCAAATTGGTTGACTCGGGCTTCTCTATGCTTACTTTGAGATGATGCGATATTCTTAAGACGTTACAGGAATCTTGCTGAACTGTATTTATAGTAGAGCGCCTTCCGGATGCAATAAATAAATAGATAATTAAGTAAAATCAAGTAAGCTGGAATCAATTAATCAGTTCTATCGGATGTAGGTTTCGCTCACCCTGGGTGGTCCAATCCACGTAAGCGCGACAAGTCCCACGGTGGAACTCCCATTTACATACACTTATCTTTACGAGCCCCCCTAGGACGTCAATACATTTCAACATCGACCACTGTTGAGCTATCAGAAAGTCACATAAGATTCCTTTCTATTCTGCTCTCTATTCCAGTCGTGTGTGAAAACCTCAAAATAATTAGGGACAAGCGCTTAATAAAAAAATGCAATTCTTTTAATCCTTAGCAGTTTCAACGTCCCGAGAGCCGCTTTCTTGTAGGTCCGCTCGTTCTAATTTTTAGATGTCTTCACTTCTTCTAAAAATCCACTAAATCTTTTTTGCCAGTAAACATTCACTTCTATGAGGTCTTTCTTGATGACGGTTCTTGTTTTTTCTCGGGCTGTGTGCCCTGTGATCTGAAGTACCACGCTTTCCCTGTCGGGTAGTCTCAGGAATTCTCAGCACATGCCCATACCGTGGCAAGGCAGCGTTCAGACTTCGCGATCGCGCCGCTATGTATCCTAAGCGGTTTGTGGGGCACGACTGATTCGACCGCTCTCCATTGCAAAAAAATCGACTGAACGGATGCTAATTCACAGCCGTATTCACTTACTTTTTCCTTCTTTCTCCTCCCGTTAGCTTCTAACTTGTTTTTTCATCTTCCTGCCACTCGCTTTCTGATCTTTTCTAATGTTTGTCGGTTATTATGCTTATTTACCTTTAACACATTCAAAATTTTCCAGGTACACTGAAATTTCAGACGGACGCCTGAGCAGCGCGCACTTTCCTGTTTTTGAGCGTGACGTTTCAGTTATCCCTGTATATTGCCGTGTATCTTTTTGCGTTCACAATCATATTTAGTGTTCTTAGCTTGGTCGGACACGCTCAGCCAGCTCTCTCCTTCCGCGCCATAGAACCTCTCCATCTCGTACCGCCTCAAGAAAGTTCTTCATTCCTGCTTTCCCTACTTTTCTGATTTTTTTCTGTATCCTTGGCTCCGGCCCCGTTGATGTGTTATGTTTAAGTTTACTATGTTTCTTTAACAACAATTGCCGGAAACAGGAAAGAAAAAAGTACTTACCCTACAGGTGAAGGTTTCTACTAAACTGCTGAGCTGCCGACCAAGCTAAACACAATATGATTGATTAGAATCAAAAAGATAACCAAAGCTACAG